ATAGGGATATTAGCCCAGATGTAAATAATGATAAATTTCTCATCTCAAAAATTCAGACAGAAACCAATTTTCTGATTTTAAAATTCTTCCCTACTGTATTGGCTTAATATTTATACAGTTTCTTTGTTTTTAAATTTTCTTCCTATGACATTGGCTAAGTATTTTTTCAAATTTATGTTAAAGACTCTTTCAATGTGTTACTTTCTCGTCTTCATGGGGGAATGATTTTGTCGTTAAATTTTTGTTCGTTATCTTAAATCAACCAATGCAGTTGGATAACTGATGGGATGTTGTCCACCTGTTTTCTTTTTAAATTATATGACATAAAACAGTTTTTAAATAAATTACCATGTTTTATGGTAACGTAGTCCAAGGAAGGTAATTTATATAGCTAATTTTGTCTCACAAGACAATGTGTATTACAAAATAGATTTATAATATTGGAATCAGAAATTACAATTTTTATTCCTAATAATAAATCAGCACTTAGCGTCTTTTAATTGATGAACTTTTTAATCCTTTCATTGTTAATCTGTAAAAATATATAATCTATGAATGTCTAAACTTGAACTTTGTCTGTAATTGTGCTCTTACTGAGGAGGAAGAAAGTGCTGTCACTCTTGCATATGCAGTGGGTTTGTTTACCTTGAAAATCAGCATTATATTCTATATTTTTATATTGGTAGGCCTTTTTACTAAACGAAACAAGAAAAAGAATTTTTGTTGTTGTTGAAAAAAAAAGACAACAAATTTCCCAGAAAAGAGTCCCACTTCATTTGTGATTTCTTGTCTCATTGATAAAGGACACAGACATGTCCAAAAATTCCGAATTTAAAATTTTTCTCTTCATCTTTCTGTATAATCAAAAGGCTATATATATATATATATATATATATATATATATATATATATATATATCCTACACACTTTGCACTACTCAGAATTTCATGTCAAATGCAATCTTCAGGTACTGAGTGTATAGTGACTGTTATTTAACTTTGAAAATATATCAGTTTATCATAATGCTGTCATAGTTAAACACTATTTATACAGTGATGTAATCTTTTAAAAAACTTTAAGAAAAAAAAAACAAATTTCAAAAAGATCTCTTACTCATGACATTAAATCTAGCAACTAAACCAACCAGTATTACCATATGAACATTAAAACTAAGTAATTATTAATTCTAGAATGGTGAGTTATCAATTATAAATTATTAATAATGGAAAGGAGCTAACTTAATTTAATATAAAATAATAAAATTATTAAAATATGTATATTCATTAATATGTATACTTTATAGCCCTGTTTCAACAACACCAGCACTTCATGTACAATTCGTATATTTATGTATTTACACACACACACACACATATATATATATATATATATATATATATATGTGTGTGTGTGTGTGTATGTAATATTGGGTGACAAAATGGAAAAACAATTGCCCTGTAATACATTTTGTCTTTAGAAGGAAATTCTTTAGACAAATGGAGATGAAACCTTATTACGTTGGTGTTGATTTGTATATTTTATATATATAATAAAAAATATAGTTTGAATGTATGCTATATTTATGGATAGAAGTGCACAATATCAGCGATAATGTGTACAAATATAAGAGTGGTCACATTTTGTTTCATGCTCAGACACAATCTTCAGATTCCCTGAAGATAGTATTCAAGCATAACACTGACTGTTGCCATTCAGTGTTGACTCATCGATATAATAAAGGCAAATGTCAGTATGTCACAGTATCACACTTTTTCAGTTAAAAGGACACAACTCTCTAACTTTCAATAGCTCATGTTACAGAAATTTTGGATTCGCAAATTTTCATTACTGCAATTGTTTTTGGCAATTTTTTTTTAACATTTTTTTTTTTTTTATGGCAAATTTTTTTTTTTTTGTCCAATAACAATTTTTATAACTTTAATCAAAATTAATTGCAAAATCTATCAGGAGTCACCCATGAAATAAAAATAATGGTTTGCACAGAAAGTAAGGACCTACACACATCAAATTGCCTTTAAATTAAGTGGCAGCAGAAGAAGAATTGCTGAAGTTTTAAAAAACAAGCTTAAATATTAATGCAATACTTAAATACTGTGATCAATTTTGAGTTCTTCTGTAGTTTGTTGCCTATCACATACAGTAGCAATATGATTTGCAAAAAGAAATCTCTACCAGCAGAAAACCAGATTGGAATCAAAAGAACCAAGGGTGCAGCAAGAAAAAGAAAGTATCATGCAAAAGAAAATCCAGATCCAATGGCAGCCAGGAGAGCTTCCAGTGCTAGAGAATGTGCAAAGTTTGTTCAAGCTCCTGAACAAGCAAAAGGCTCAATCAACAGCCATCCACAGGAGCTAGCGTAAATGCTGGCTGATAAGGTGGCTTATATTGGATCGGATTTCCTACATTTTTCAACCAATTTCAACAAAACTTCACAGGACTGAGTAAAATTACCTTGTGGTGGTTCTGACAGTGCCAAAAATTGGAAAAACACAATTGTTTATGCATGAAATCAATTTGGGAACACGATAAAACACGATTCTGTTGCCAGAAGGAAAGGGGGACAACTCATATCAAGTTATACTTATTATAAAACCCAGGTTGTTTGTTTGTGTGTGTGTTCATTTATATATGGGATTGGATTTCCTACATTTTTCAACCGATTTCAATAAAACGTCACTTTTTTTTGGCAGGTAGTGTTTCTTATTATCTTGCACACTTTTTTTCTTTATTTTTACATTCAGAATGCTTTAAAAATTCCATTTACAAGACAATTGTTTATAATAAAATTCTATTCAATCGATAGACTCATAATGATTGAAAACAATGTTTTTGTTTGGGTTTGACCAAATTGTAAAAAAAAAAAAAAAAAAAAAAAAAAAACTAATTAAGACATGTGTGTCTGTCAACCTTAAACAATAATCTTTGTCAATTTTATTTTTCAGTCTTTATGATGGTCGATACTTGATCTATCTCTTACTGTTACATCCCCGGGCAACGCCAGGCTCTCCTGCTAGTGTATATATATATAATTTTATTACTTAAATGTTATTTTTAGTGGATACCCATATTTGAGTAGAAAGTCTGATTATTTTTCAAACAGTATATTTATTTATTTTCATCTATCTGCCTGAATATTCAAGAAGTCTTATTGGAAAAATATGCACTCTCTGGCAGGATTCAAACTTGTGTTCCTTTAGAGGAAACGATAATTAGATCTGTTATAAAGCGCTTTGTAGCACTTACAATATAAGAATGCCTTGGTTACTTGCCGTGACACCTGTATTAAGTAGTCTGAAGACTGACTCCAATGGCTTCTTCTTTCCTTACTTTTGACCTGGAGCTCATTATTTATAGTTATGAGCTAGTTCATATAGTCACCGGGAATGTAGTATTTACTCCACAACAAAATCTGACATGTTATGACTTCTTGGCTACAAAGAACATAATGACAAAAGCAAAGCTCGAACAGTGCTTTTGAACACACATTTTCACTGATTCTCAAAATCTGCTCAGTTTTCATACTTTACCATGGACAAAGTAATATTCATGAATGGATTTTTCATTTATTAATCCAGCATATTTTATCACTTAAACATTATATATATATATATATATATATATATATATATATATATATATATATATATATATATATATATATAATGAATAGAATCTTTAAAATTCATCAGGTCAGGTGATAATAAATATATTTCATGGAACTCCTGTCCATCTCTTCAGACCAGTTTTTCATTAATAAATGGAGTTCAATTTATTCAGACACAAGATGGACATTAATTCCATGAAATAAATTTATTACCACCTGACCTGGTGAATTTTTAAGGATTTTGTATTCATTATTATATTGCTCTGTTTTTACATTGAGCTCTCTGCAGATTTATATCCTCTTTGGAATTATCCCTACTAATCATCAATTGAGATATATATATATATATATATATGTGTGTGTGTGAAAATATATAGAAAATAGGAAAGAACTCGTTAGGTAAATAATCCAAAGTTCTTTAGTATTTTTGTTATTATTTTTAAAAAAACAGTGCTCAATACAAAAGTAGAGCCTAAATATAATTATAATTTTTTTGGATTCCCAAAAATAATTTCACTTGAAGATGGAACAGAGCTTGGTACTTTAATTCAAATAATTATATCGAAGTTTTCGGCTTTTGTTTTGAAACATGAGAACTCTTATGTAGTGATGGAATCATATTTTTAAATAAATAATTATATAAATAATTATAATATATATATATATATATATATATATTTGGTTGGATAGATGTGAGTCACATCTACCCAAACAAATATGTTAGCTCTTTCTCTGATATTGAGCGCTTTCTAATAAGTACCGCGCATATAATATATAAATAATTATGCATGTATATATTTGTTTATATTTATATACACTTTTCACATATATATATATATATATATTTATTTGTTTAAAGATTTTTTAAAATTGATACTCATATTTGAGTAGATGCTTTGTTTTTATTTATTTATTAAACAGTATATTTATTTATTTACATCTACAAGCCTGAATATTTGAGAAATCTTGTTAGAAAAATGTGCATCCTCATGTCAATAAATAAATGTACTGTTTAATAACTAAATAAAAACAGAGCATCTACTAAAAATATGAGTATCCATTTCAAAAATATTGTTTAATCCAACATTTTTTAATTTATTTCTATAAATTAAAAAATGTTGGATTTAATCCATTTCCCATAATATATAACACAATCATGTTCTTGAGTGTATTCAGAGGAATGGTTGACCAGCCATTTTCAGTTTGATCTGCATGGCATGCCCAGCTCTTGGAATCTTATATCGGATTCAATTTAATCTTTGAAATATTTGATTAAAAAAAATAGTTTGCTTCTGTGTTCAAAACTGTCATTTTCTGTTTTGATTCCAGGTGGAAGAAATTCGAGCGATGATAGACAAGATATCGGATAATGTGGATGCGGTCAAGAAAAAACACAGTGACATACTGTCGGCTCCACAAACAGATGATCGTAAGTTGAGCAGTTTATTTATTTATTTTTTTAATTCTATTTTCCTTGATTGAAAAGCGTTTTTGGCAATGTTTAACCTTGTGCCTGCAAAAAACAGTGTCAAAAAGATAGTTATTCCCTTGACACCACTATTACTGTATACAGTTTTGGTTTTTGGTTTATTTACAAGATTATAAAAATATCCAAGCCAAGTATAATGTGATATTTATTGCTTATCTTTTATAAAAATTTGTCATCATTTATAAAGAAAAAAGTCTTTATTAACAAATTTATAAAAAAAATGACAAAATTATCAATCTCCAAACTGACTAAAATTTATTATTTGCCATTTTATAAATAACTATGAAAACATTAATTAAAGTTGGTTCACATATTTTTTTATAATCTTGTAAATGCGAAATTATTCTTGTAAATAAGCAGTCTAATAAATAGAGGGTCTAACATCTTTGTTGTCAGTTCTCAAAAATAGATGTGTAAATCCACTTGCATATGTTTGGGTTTTAAAATTCTAATCATTGCTTTTTAAAATGATAAACATCACTGAGAGAGTCAGAAGTGTCTATAATAATTGCAGTGTCAAGGGAATAACTGTCATTTTAACAGACAATTTTTTTTTTTTTTTTTTTTAGGCAAGCACAAAGGTTGAACTGTTTCATTGAATTTTCAGATTAAAAGAAAAATCCTTTTTTCCAATTTTTAGTGAATAATTAAAAAAAAAAAAGAATTCTTTAATTTCTTTGGTAACTAAGTTCATGAGATTTGTCTACATGTAAAATAAGTAATCAGTTTATTTTCAACCTCTTCAAGTCTACAGTCAATCACAATCTTTGCTACATATCCTCCACTTGCTCCTTTTACATCCATATAACAACATCATTCAGTAACTCTCTGCCTTGAGTGGAGCCTTGTATTCGGTGAACAAAAAAAAACTAAAAAAACGTTGGGAAAGAGAATTATGCACATTCTGGTCCTACTAGCAAAATGTTGAAGAAAAAGGTTCCTTTTTGGCAAATATTTATTATTTCCTTTTTTCTTAAATAAAACTACAACAATTGTTTGATCTTAGTTTAAAAAAAGAAAAAATGTAATGCATGGATCTTTTCCAAGAAAGCATAACATTGGACATGCAGAAAAGTTGACTGATTTTTTTTGCCTTTATTTATTGACCTTTCAAATTAGGGCATGTTTGTTTTTTTTTTTTTTTGTTTTTTTTTTCTTTTCAATAGAATAAAATTCCCGTGAATTTAAATATGGTGCTTTATAGATAGAATGTTATCACACCCACACATTTATCGGATCTTCTGACCCTGACGAGCATTGTTGCATGAAACACTGGAAATAGTCAATGTGATAAGTCCTTTCAACATTTACTAATCAATTTATAGACATACATATTTATATTAAAGTGGTGTGTTCTGAAAAATATGCTGCGGTAAGCAAATCACATTATCTCCTCTCTTACACTCTCTCCTGTATTCACTCCTCTCTTACACTCTCTCCTGTATTCACTCCTCTCTCACACTCTCTCCTGTATTCACTCCTCTCTCACACTCTCTCCTGTATTCACTCCTCTCTCACACCTCTCCTGTATTCACTCCCTCTCTCACACTCTCCTGTATTCACCCCCTCTCACACTCTCCCTGTATTCACTCCTCTCTCACACTCTCTCCTGTATTCACTCCTCTCTCACACTCTCTCCTGTATTCACTCCTCTCTCACACTCTCTCCTGTATTCACTCCTCTCTCACACTCTCTCCTGTATTCACTCCTCTCTCCTGTATTCACTCCTGTATTCACTCCTCTCTCCTGTATTCACTCCTGTATTCACTCCTCTCTCCTGTATTCACTCCTGTATTCTACTCTCTCTGTATTCCTGTATTCACTCCTCTCCCTGTATTCACTCCTGTATTCACTCCTCTCTCCTGTATTCACTCCTGTATTCACTCCTCTCTCCTGTATTCACTCCTGTATTCACTCCTCTCTCCTGTATTCACTCCTGTATTCACTCCTCTCTCCTGTATTCACTCCTGTATTCACTCCTCTCTCCTGTATTCACTCTCACACTCTCTCGTCTATTCACTCTCACACTCTCTCGTCTATTCACTCTCACACTCTCTCGTCTATTCACTCTCACACTCTCTCGTCTATTCACTCTCACACTCTCTCGTCTATTCACTCTCACACTCTCTCGTCTATTCACTCTCACACTCTCTCGTCTATTCACTCTCACACTCTCTCGTCTATTCACTCTCACACTCTCTCGTCTATTCACTCTTTACTCTCGTCTATTCACTCCTTACTCTCTCCCTCTCTTCTATCCTATCTTCTCTCTCATTTCAATTTTTCTCTTTCTTATTGCTTGCTTGGTATGTGCACAAGATTACCAGACTGTGTTCTCAACTCTCCGTTGCAATATAAACTGTTTCTACAGGTTGATCAGAAAAGGCAGGCAACATAAAACAACCTTCTACCATTAACGTGTCTGCAGCATGTCTTGTTTAATTTTATCATCTCTAATAATCTTAAAACATAAAATTCCCCACAAAACCTAACTCTGTTCTATGCTATCTTCGTCCAACTGGTGCCAGATAACCTGGACACTTAAACAATTCTAGAATGTGCAATCAATGATGAAATATAGACAAGGAAGTCCAACTTTGTTTAGTTAACAGTAGGAGAAAATCAATTACCGAGAAGTGTATGCATTTAGGAGATAGACTGGACACTGTTCAGCTGTTATCAGATGCTTCAACCTGTAAAGTCTTGCCTAATATTATTGAAGGAAAAAAGATAGCAAATTCCTTAAAATTGTTGACCACAGTACAGACCAGTCATTGGCCACAAGTGAAATGATTGAAATTTTAATTTATGCAGTGTCCACAAAGGAAAAGGATGTTTTGTATGAACAGTGTTCATGCAAATTCTATGACATATCTTTTTCATTTTCTGAAGAGAACTTAGTCTTAGCTCTTTAATAAAAATTGGGAGCTGGAAAAAGCGGTGACATTAGAAATGGTTTCCAAAACTTAATAAAAAGAAGGGTTTGGAAAAATCTTAGGAAATGATAGAATGAATGTAGAATTTAGTTTATTTGACTGAATATATTGTATGTAGACATAATATATAGATGAACTTGTAGGTCAACTGCAGTCATTAGGAAGTCCATGATCTTATTGATGGCTGTAAAGTATGTGCCATGACTAATTATGGTCTCTGAATTTGGCATTGCTCTTCATCCAAGGCTGATAAACAGTTTGCTATAATATTTGACCTGCAACTGGAGGTATTCAAACATAATTTAATTAATGTATAACAGGCTTTATTACTAATCAACAGTAAACATCAGTAGGAAATAAAACACTGAAATTATTTACACTATTTTTATTTGGACTATTGTCCTCATCTTTGTTGTTGTTATTAATGTTTTGGCCATTGTGCTCACCAGCCTTCTTCAGCTGTATATCAATCTGGATAATCTACAAAGAATTCTGAACTGAACCCTTTATTTAATCTACGGTGGTAATTGTCCTCCATGATAGAAATTAAAATGTTGGTTTGTGAATCTGGTGATATTGATTGTGAGTTCAGTCCCTGGGTCAGGCAATGTGTACTTGCACTCACTGGAAATGGGCAAACAATAACTAAATTAATACTAAATAAAAATAATAATGAGGCAAAAAATATTTTCTTGATGCATAGCAACAAGAAAAAGTTTAAAGAAAAAAAGTGGGATTCTTATTTTTTTTACTTTTTTGTTTGTGGAATCCATATTAATTTCTCTCTCCTAAATGGCTGCCCCTTAGAATTCATGCAAGTAGGTTTGAAGCCCTATTTCTAGAAATGCTGTATTGCTGGAGCTATTATGATGTATTGATTGATTTGGTTCTTTTTTTTAATGGTTTATCAACCTTTTGCAGTTTATTTCAAGCCAGAAAATATTTTTAAATTGAAAGAATTTTTTTGAGATAATGAAAAATTACTGATACAAGTTCTACTAATTAACCCATAGCTGAGAGGAGAAGAAGTGGATTCATATCTTTTCTCCAGGGTATTTGCATGTAAGTAAATATAACGAACCTGACTGGTATTAGAACTCTGCTCTCTGATCTCCAATTCCAACCCATTATCCATTACACCACCCACATATCTAAGCTGGTATTCCTAAGCGGTCACCCATCTAGGTACTGACCAGGCTCAATGTTGATTAACTTATCATAAGAGAACCGGTATTAGTTCGCATTTGAACCATGAGACCCAGGTTCTCACCAAATTAGTTGAGGTGGCTTTTTGATATCAGCCTGAGGAGACAAACCCAATGTACAGCACCATTGAGAAGTCCTTGAACTAAGGCTCAAGAGCATAGGTGGATGAAAATGTTCGAAAGCCATTGATAGTTGTACTGGTATGTAGTCACATGTCTCACCTAATGGGCAGATGAAGTTCCTCAACCTCAGTTGGCAATCTCTCTGGAGATAAGCTCTCAATAAAAATAGCCTGACCACTCATGGGGAAGTATTGGCCTGAACAAATTCACAATTCTTAAAAAAAAAAAGAAATGTCAGCTCAGCTCATGGTCTACTGCAGCCAAAAATAGCACAATGTGATGATGATAAAGCTATACAGACAAAATATTTAAATTATATAATAATATTATGGTGTGCTCTGCAGAAAAAAAAATTACTCTCCATTCTATCTCCCTTGCTACTTTCCAAATCACAGTATGATAGATTCCTGAATGACTGAAATGTGAAGAAGAAATATATGAACAGTGTTCAAGGCAGAACAAGAATGGAAACTTAAAATAGGACATATAAAGAGAAGCTTTAATAATATCAACAATCAAGATCATCCCAAAGAAAACTAGACAAAAAGAAAAAGAATGGATGACAAATTAAATTCCCAACATGCTAAAAAGGAGACAAAAAACAATGCCAAGGTATGGCACAGAATATAGAGCACTACACAAAAAAAATTAACAAACTGCAGAAAATAGGGAGGGAAAATATGACGAAATGACTAAACATTGTAAGAAGACAGAATGTATGATTGTCAGCAAAAGGAACATCCCAACATTTTAAATATCTGGAATGTGTTTTAACAGAGAACAGAAAGTGTGATACTGAAATTTAAGGACACATTGGGATAGTGAAAGATGCCATCCAAAAGCTAAGCAAAGTATTAAGAATCAGGAAAATTTTGTTAGAAACAAAGAAAAGAGTACCAAATTGTTACGTGATATTAGTCTTGTATGGCAGTGAATGCTGGACTGCCTTCTCACAGATAAAAAAGAAACTTGAAGCAACAGAAAGATAAGAATATCATGGACTGGACAAGTAAGCAACAACAAAGTTTTAGAGAAAATGGAAACGAAAAGGTCACTTATAGCTAACATCAGGAAGACAGTTGAAATTTCTAGAGAACATAATGAGGAAAGAATGTTTATAAAATTTGGTACTCATAGGGCAAAATAGTCAGAGGAAAACAACTTATAACCTACCAAGCAAGCTTGAGTAAATAGATGGCCGAATAGCTGAGGAGAGATAACAAAAAAAAAATATTTCTTAAGAGTTACAAAGGATAGGAAATAGTGAAGAGCCATGATTTCCAACATTCTGAAATCATTCAAGGTAGAATGCTACTAAATGAGGTTGTAAAGGCATAAGAGGAAGAAGTGCATATTCTGAGGATATGTAGGATAGATAACAGTTGATCAGACTTGAAGAGATTAAGGTTGTTGTGACAATTCTTTCAGGAATCTGTTCCATAAATGTAATAATTCTTGGGAAAATGATGTCTGAGTAAAATTTCCTCTTTACAAATGGGTTGATTTTGTGTATGGGACATAGCACCATACATTAACTGCCTCTGCAGTGGCTCCAAGGAATCTCTGCCGGAGGTTGTCTGGGAGATCAGATTTCCAGATTACATCCATTTTTATTCAAGGTGACCCAGGCTTTAGCTATGTGAATTTTCACATTCCTTTCAGTAGAATTTATTTCGCTTCCGAAATATGTAAAAGATTCGGCAGATTATATTGATTCACAGTTTGTATTGAGCCTTGATGGTTGGAGACTATGAATTCAGTTTTAGATCCAACATCATAGCTCTATGAACCCATCCCTGATATTTCTACAATCTTAAACAGCAAATTTGCTTTGCAGCAAAATTCTGGCAAGCAAAACAAGAACTTGCAAGTGATCTCCTGCTGATGGCACAAAATGGGCTTGTCACCCAGCAACCACCTACATTGACCAGCAATGTTATGACACACAATGCCATCCTAATGACCTTAATCCAGGACTGTGACGGTTGGCATGATAGACTCGTGAATAGCTTGACTGAATAAAATAGGGCATAGCATGTCCTAGCTGTGAAGATCTGGACTGGAGGAACTAAAGAATATAGCTTGACTGAACATTTGTCATAGAAAAGTGTTTTCAGCTGATATGAAGTGGAAAGAGTATACTGAATCCATTGCTAAGTCTGCAGCTAAGAAAGTTCATTAACTATCTTACATATTTATAAATCTACCATTTGTCCTTGCTTTGAATATTGCTGCCACATCTGGTTTAGTGCTCCTGTTATATATTTAGAGATTCTTGATAAATTCCAAAGAATTTGCAGTGTTATTGGTCTGAGGGAATAATGCCACTAAGATGCAAGGGTCTACTGGGAGTGAAAGAGAATGAAAAAGACTTTAGAAGGAACCAAACACCCAGTCCTAAACAGGAAAACAAGGGATAAACCTCTACACCTCTATTCACCCCAAGCAAGGTGATAATGCCACTAAGATGCCAGGGATTACTGGGAGTGAAAGAGAATGAGAAGAATTTAGAAGGAACCAGAAACCCAATCCTAAACAGGAAACAAGGATAAACCTCTACTCCTGTTCAAAAATGGGGAAATTAAAATTACTGTTGTAACGTGTTTCAGTCTATCATTATTATTAATTTAGATTGTCTTCACTTCTCTCTTAATATGAAACTTGTTTTTTAATTAAAATTCAGGCCATTAATCTACTGTGATACATTGACAGTAGAGGATTGGGAACAAAGGATCTGGGCAATCTATTACCTGTCATGTCATGAGGAAAGCTGTAATAAAAAGAATAAAAAAAATGAAGATGAAAGTAAATATGAATCAGAATTGATAGTGATAATAATAAAAAGTTTCAAATCTGTACTAGTCAAAATGGCTAATAATGGCTGGCGATGCTTCATCTAATAAAAATAATGTGATTGTTTCAGTGTATTTCTGTCATGTTCAGAGACAATAAATACAAAATAATGTATCTAACTTCTAAATATTCGAAAGTGTTATGATGTAATTGCATACCAAAGTTTTTTCTTTTCTTTTCTTTTTTTTTCTTTTCTTTTTTAAAATCGTTTCACCCCAAGCAAGGCAATAATGCCATGAAGTCACAAGGGATTAAGACTTTAGGAGGAACCAAAAACCTAG